ATATATATATATATATATATAAACTACCTACTACTTGTACTACTATATCTACTTAGCAGTTTTTCATTTATCACGGGGCGTCAGGGGACGGATCCCCCGTGATAAATGAGGGACCACTGTATTGAGAAGGCCAGAAGTATTGTTGCTGAAATTGGTTGTTTTTTTTTGTCTCAAAATAGTCTCAAAACTTTCTTAATTTTGTTTCTGGGAGTCTGAAAGCGCAAACATAAGTGAGGCAACTTTTGGAAGGTTTGGTGAACAAAAAAAAACAAACTGTGACTGACTGGAGGCAAAAACAGAATAAACTGAGTCAGAGACTCTGAATTGCAACCTAACTGAGACAGGGTGAAGACACCTGGAGACTAAATTGTAACTAAAGCATGTGCACGTCATTCACAGGAAAACTGCAGCTTATTTGCAGTTTTGTACGTCACAGTTAAGTCGTAAGTAGAATTTTTGTGTTGTTTTCAGTAAAAAAAATTATGTATTTTCTCACAATTTTGTCTCCAACTTGTTGCTACCCAGAGAGATAGTGGCATAAAATAAGTGAATTTTTGTTTTTTGAATATTTTATTGTGAAAGGGTAACTGTTTTTATGTATCGATGGTGCCCTGATACACAACACTCCTAATACTCGTTTTGTTTGGTATTTAAGTGATGTTTGGACTGTAAATATCATAAGTTATACTCTGAAAATGGGCAAACTTTTTGGTTTAGCTATTAAAGAGGCTCAAGTTTTTTGGCTAACAAGGCTGGGGTGGTTCATTAATATCATGGAAAAAATCCTAAATTATGGATAAGCGTTGGTGCAAAACCAAAGTCAAGGTTGTGACAAAGGGGGGAAAATGAGAATAAAAGTCACCAACTATTAAAAAATGATGTCAGGAACCGCCTGCTCTGCTTACCATCTGCATCTTCTTCTTCAGCTCCATGTTGGAGTTTTGGTAAGCTTTGGACACGGAGTTCAGATAATAGATGGCCAACCTGCAAGACGTGATGGGATTAGATGTTTTCCAGGGTTTCCTCAGGACTTTTGTTTTACGTAAAGGCCTTTGCTCCTGTTTCTGTTGGATGAACGTTCATTGTCCAACCATAAGAACGTTGGTGTTTTTACGGTTCTACACTTACACCATGAGCAGCACCGCTGGCATGATGAGGCCTGGGTTGGCCGCGTAGCTGAAAAGCGTCCCCATGAAGGCCGGCAGGTCCGTGCTGATGGTTTCCATGATCACGTCAAACATCTTGGGTTTGCCGCTGCTCGGTCACACAAACGTGAACATTTGGCACAAAGTCACTTCTGAAGAGGCGTTTATAATCAGAGGTGGGGTTACCTGAAAGGTCCGCAGTCAAACGAAGGTGGTAGGGTCATGATGGTGTAGATCACAGGCAACAGGCTCAGGAAGAGGATGAGGAGCAGCAGACCCATGTAGAAGTTGTTGGACTTGGAGGCCTTGAAGACTCGCTCATGTGGGACGTTTGTGGCCATCACGGCCCAACACTGGTAGTACATGGAGCTCAGGAGACGGAGGACGTTGATGCCAACGAGCCCAGGAGCGAAAAACGCACCCATCCTGATCCAAAACAAAAAACTGATAAACTGGTCCCATTCTAGTCCCAGTACTTATACTCCAGTTACTTTCAATAAAGGTACAGTTTACTCTCGTCAGTGTTCAATCCAAAAAAGTCATTGGCAGTCCAATTCAGTATGTTCAGCTTCTATCCAATTCACTGCAATTAAATGGGTTTTAAATTTAACTCAGTAAATCCAATAAATTAAACAATCCAATTTGTTGTAACTTGTTCTAGTTCAATCTACTCCAATTCAAATGTGTTTCATATCGATTCAACAAACCCAATCAATTTTATTTCAATTCAGTTTATCCCAAATCATCAGATCCATTCATTACCACTTCCATTCATCCCAATTCAATAAATTGTCATTTATTCCATTTATATTTAAACCCAATTTTCAAATTAGTTTAAATTCCATTCACTTCAGTTTATATTACAATTCAGTTCAATCTCAGTTTATTCCAGTAATAACAGCCAAATTACGACGTGGGCATCCCAGTTCAATTTAGCCTAACATCTTTCACTTTGATTCAGTTAAATCCACTAAATTTTAATTCAATTTGATCCAATTATTTTAGTCTAGTTACGTCCAATTGAATGCTCTATAATTCAACCGTGTAGTTCAGAAAGTCAAATTCAATTGATTTTTATTCTACACATTTCAATACAGTCTAAGAGCAGCTTCTTCTTTTGAAACCAAATTTCAACCCAACAGCTTAGTCCCCAATCAAAAATGGTTTGTTCCAATTTAATTTTCAATTTTGTCCCATTTATAATTCAATTCAAAACAATTAGATCAGTAAATTATTAAACATCAAAAACTAGCTTGCAAAAAATATCATTCTGTGAAAGATTTTACAATTTCCTTAATAAGTACAATATTTCTGTTGATTAATCGTTTCAGTTGAACATTTGATAACATTTAAAATGGTCCAAGTGAAAAAACAAACACTGAAAAACACAAAAATAATCTTTATTTACTTAATAAAACTGATGACGTGCCTACATGTGCGCCTAATCGTAATGCCAACAAGTTGTTAAATCGAAAAATAATTTAATGAGATGAAAATATGAATAAAAATGATTAAATATTTAATAAAATTATAATCTTGATGCAGCATAAACTGTGAAGTATGGAACCACAAGGTCGTGGCATGAGACCACTACATCAAATCAATCAATCAACCTTTATTTATACAGGTAAATCCCAAATATGTGGTTTATGATAGTTTTTAAGGAATTTACTATAGTTTATTTTGCCTTTGTCTGTTAGGTAAACTGAGCATGCTCAGTGTGTGTATAATAATAATAAAGTTTATACCAGATCATCCCTTGATTGAAGACCAACCCAAGAACATTTCCACTGATGTCAAACTCTCCGTACGACGGCTGAAAACAGTCAAAAAACAGATGAACTGATATGCTCATCAGCCTCACTGGCCTTTAATGTTAACAATAAAACATATACAGTGGAATTAGTCAATTAAAAATAACAATTAGCTTTATAAATCTAAAACACAGCAGCTGACGGACTTACAAACCCAGCTTCCAGGTCCCAGCACCAGCAGTAGTTGAGGAAACGAACGATGACGGCTCTGGCAAAGTCACCGATCAGGATGGTCAGGTAGGTCACCTGAATGTCCGACACCGTCAGCTTCACAAACTCCTACAGCCGAGGGAATGAATGCATAAATATTAACAACATACAACTCTTTTGCCCGTCTTTTTCAAAATATCTCATGAAAGAGACGACGGCTGGGCGAACACAAGTCAGTCCAATTCAAGTCAAGTTGGTCAACTACCGTGATCGAAATGTACAGGGATGTTTTTATTACTATGCCGACGGAAGTTTCCCAGCAGGGTCCTCTGATGACATCCGCAGGGCTCATCGGTGGTGGAGTCGCCTCGGTGTCGTTCAAAATACGTGAATAATTGGCGTAGTACTCCTTCATGGCCCAGATGGAAGCGTTCTTGATAGACTGCTCTTCTTCAAGCTGAAGGAAACAAAACTTATCAGTCACCTAGATTCTCCTAACAACAAAAAACTAAAGATCAAAAATAGAAAATGATTAAGATGCAACAAAAACCTAAATGTGTAACTTGGTAATTAATAAAAACTGTCCCAAATATTTTTGTTTATGACTAAACACAATGTCCTTAAGTCATTTCTAATGCAGTTATTCAAACATGGCACATGAACCCTTTATAAAAACAGCTTTAAGCTTGACATTTTTAAGCAATGACATACATAGACACCACCAGCTTACCTTGGTGTTGACCTCATCAAACAGGGCAAACAGGAAGGTGTAGAGGTTCCCGAGAAACAGGGCAAAGATGCGTCCCAGCTGCCACTTGAGGGCGATTCGAGGATGGTAGTCCTCCAGTTCAGCAATCGTCTCAAACAGAGGAGGACACACCAAGCCCAGCAGGGACATAACAATCTCCAACTGGTAGACAAGAATCACACGTACTTCATGAGATCTATGTCCTTTTGTTTCGTTTTGGTTCTGAAAGCTTCTTGCGTGATCCGATTCTGACAATCGTTACCTCGTTCTTCTCGTACCAGCTGAGGTCATTCCTTGTAGCGAACTCCTGAGACCTCTTCACCACAAAGTAGATGAGGTAGCCACTCCCACCGAGGCTACAGGTGATCATGAAGTTAGCCAAGACCCTGAGGAACCGTCGCAGGTGGATGTTCTCGTCCTTCTGGTTCTCCTGCTCATCCACAATGGACTCCTGTTCTTATGAAAACACGGAGGGGACTGACTGTTGGTGTGAGCCCATAAAGAAAGCAAAGGTCTTTGGGTCGGATTGTCTCAGGAGCTGTGGGGTTGCCGTGGCTACCTTGAAGCTGGTGGTGATGGAGGCGTACTTGTTGTCAGCGGTCTCTGCGTTGCCAATGAGGTAATCCCAGCTTGTGAACATCTTCCAGCCAAAGGTGAACTCCCCTTCCTCTCCATCACCGCCGCCTACATCAGCATTTTTGGCCATTCTGAATGACAAAACAACCCAATGATCTGCACATATTTGATCCAAAATAGGTAAATAAAGGCTTTCTGAGCTGAATGCACTCACGTGCGAATCACAAGCATCAGGCTGTAGCCGAAGCTGCCGATTCCCACCAGGAGGTAGGATAGAGGCAGCCTGAACTTTAGCAAGCCGATGGTCCTCTGGTCGTTGTAATATCCATAGAACAGGACAGAATATTTACAGTAGCCCTGAGAGAGAAAACTCGTTTTTAATTCTTGTTTTTCAAACTCTTTTGTTTCCATTGGCTTCAAACGCCACAGTACGCATGTCAAACAATAAATGAACAAACCCAGATTATATTAGGCTCACGTTAAAGTCCATGAGAACAGAGTAATCCATAGCAGTGTCCTGCTCGGCTCTGGGAACAGTCTTCCTGGGAATAGACCCGTAAGGGAGACCCATCAAAACCTGGAAAACAAGCAATAGATGAAAAAAAAACAGTGTGTTGATTTAAAATGCCTTTAATAATTAATGATTAATAATGATTAAACAGTGAGCAGTACATCAGTTCACCTCAGGGATGACCACCAGCCCAAAGGTTAGCCCGAACAGGACGAGGTTCATGCCGTACATCCATCGCAGAAAGATGAAATAAGACGCCACCGATGAGCCAAAGTGGCCTAAAGGCATTGGCACGACATTAAAACATGACATACATTATTCAAACTCAACACTAAAAGATGCTAATGGACAAAACTTACTTTCCACCTCTTTGATTTTCCTCTCCCAGGGGATACAGGCAGTTCTAAAATTCTCAAAATCTCTTTGAAACTTAATCCATTTCTGATATATAAAAACAACAAGAGTGTTATAGACCAAAAACTTAAAAATAAAAAGAGACAAAAGGTTGGAGCATGATACCAAACCTTTGTCATCATCACTTTGTAGGCATACCACTTCCTGCCTTTTCCTTTACCCAAAGCTCCTTCAAACTTATCCACAAACTGCTGCGCCTCCCTGTGGAGTAAAGCAGAAATGCTCTCTCAGACTAAAACAATACGCCGATGACACTGTTTTATATGTACAAGCTGGTATGGCTGAGTCAGCTGCTCTGTTAAGGATTGGATGTTTGCTTAAGTATTCATAGAGACAAGAACTGTTTAAATCTTAGATGATATTCTTAATGTCTCAAAACAACTCAGATCTCAACAAATTTCACAATTATTCATGCAAACAGTATTTAAAAATCTTTACAGTCTAATTTTATTTAGTTACATAAATAAAATGTCACAGTTATTAGCTAGCAAAAATAGCATCAGCTAGCTGTAGCACTTCCAGTGCAGCTTTAGGCATTTTCGTCAGGAATATTGTAACATTTCTGCTGGATTAAGTGTGTAAAATTAAACTGGAAGCAAATCAGGAATTTAAAAAATGTATTCAGGAGAGGTGATATTTCACATTAGAGTTGTTAAAAGATGGAAGGAATCCACTTTGGTTTTAGCCTGGCTCAGACTAGCCATTAGCTCATCAGCTCGGTCAGACTTAAACTCCAGATCTTTAAACTGAGGCTGTTTAATGAGCTATCAACAACAGGTAATATATTAATTGTACCCACACGTTCTACTGAACTCCAACTCTCCGAATCATCCATTTGAACCTGTTGGCCTGGATGTTGGAATAATCGTTGAAGAAAACGTGAAAAATGGTTGAGCTCCTAAAATACAACTGGCCAAATTTTAAATACTATATCTTTCATAAGAGGAAATGGGGTTTCGCGGACTTTATGATTTTATCTAATATATTTTATTCTTGGCGCAGGCCAATGAAACCACGCTAACAATTGTCAAATTCAAGCAAAAATTTAAAATTTAAAGAAAAGCAAAACAAGACATTTTTGTCTGTCCAAGCAGATCTCACTTGTAAATGAGTCTTCGAGGCTCAATGTGATTTATCTGTCTAAATAAAGGTTGAATGAACCAATGAAAAAAGACAAACAACCAATGCTACCTACTTGTCAGAATATTGGGCAGACACCGTTTTCTCTGTTTAAACAGTGTTTCTAAAATGTTTGCTTTAATTAATGTTCAGTTAATTCAATTTTAAATGACCTGCTTCCTCTTCTAAGACAGATTCTTTACACGGTCTCAGTATTTTGTATTAATACAAATATATTTATACAAAATACTAGATAACTGGGGTAAGTCAGTGTTTCTTGTTTTGTGAGGTTTCCATTACACATTCTTTGCAGACAGAAAGTGGTGTCACGTGTCAGGCAGACGTTACTTTAGAACGGTGAGCCTCCGTTTCATTCGCCAAGGCTTGTTCCTGATGTTGGCGATCAGTTTCTTCTTTTCTTCCACCTCCTCCATCAGCCTGGCCATCTCGCCCTCCGACATGGACTCCTCTTCCTCCTCGTCCGAGTCTATGTTGGAATCAGTTGAACTGGAGACAAAATAAATAAATAAATAAATAAAGTTTAGTTTGGCTTCTTGTTTTATCTCCTGTCGCCTACCTGTCATCCTTCTTCTTCTTCTTCTTGTTTTTGTCATCATCCTTATCTTTGCCCTTGTCCTTTCCTTTGGCGCCACCTTTTTTACCCGGCCCATCCTCATCCTCCTTCCCTCCTTTCTTTCCTCCTTTCTTTCCCTTCTTCCCTTTCCCATCATCGCTGTCGTCCTCATCACTGTCCTGAGCTTTGCCTCCTTTTTTCCTGTTGGCTGCGCCTCCCTTCTTCTTCTTAGGGGCCTCATCTTCACTCTCGTCCTCATCGTCATTGCCGCCTCGTTTCTTGGCCGGCCTCCTCTTGTTTGCTCCTCTTCCTCGCCCCCTTGGAGCCTCATCCTCTTCGTCCTCGTCACTGTCTTGCTTTTTGCCTCTGCCTCTTCCTCTTGTGCCTGCTCCTCGTCCAGCTCCTTGTCTTCTGTTTGTTCTCTTCTTGGTGCCACCGTCTACGTTTCAAAACATAAATGACCAAATTTAGTCATACGAGCCTTTGATACTTCAGAGAAATTCATGTTGATGTACTCACCATCACTGTCGTCTTCTATATCGATCTCGACTGAAGAACAACACAAATAAACAAACAAACAAAAAACAGTTTTAAAACTGAACCAAATAAACACACATTGAGATGCTTTATATTTTAAAATATACTTTTTTATGCAACACTTGTCCTGGTCATTAAAGATCTTGTGAAACCTGAATGGGTAAATGTGACATTTAGTAAGAGCTGCAATCTCAATGGTTCCCAACCCTAGTCCTTGAGGAACACCATCCTGCATGTTTTAGTTGTTTCCCTGCTCCAGCACACCAGATTCAGTGAGTTAATTACTTCATCATGATCTGCAGAAGCCTGTTAATCACCCATTCATTCAAATCAGCTGTGTCAAAGCAGGAAAACAACGAAAACGTGCAGAATGGTGTTCCTCAAGGACCACGGTTGGGAACCACTGAATAGTTAGCTCATTATCAAATATCACTAGTCCTGCATCATTAAACTCAACACTTGATTTTATTTTGTCCAAGTATCGGAAAAGTCATTATGCTAACACGTAAAACCAGAAATGTTAAAACATTTTAATATTAGCATATTGTCATTTTTTTGTTTGTTTTCTATTCGATTTTTAAATGAGTCTCGTTCAACTAATGTCCAAATACTTCACAAATTGTCCCAAGCTTCTCTTTGTGTTCAACGCTAACCTGCTAAAGTAACGTTTTTACCAAAATGTTAAATACTTTGCACTTCGCTAAAAGCCAAATACACAAAAAAGTCACATCTTCAGCTTCAGCTGCTCTCTGGATTCTGCTAACCAACCACTAAATTAACACGCTAAACTAAAAGTCTTAATATTTTACCAGTTCAACAGCAGGTTGGTTTGTTCACCATTTCACTAAACCTAAAGTGTAGACTAGTGACTATTTTAGTTGGTCAAATGGTTTGCAGAAAAGACTCACTGCTCTCGAGTTCTGTTTTTAATGAACACATCGACAAAACATCATGCGATCATGTAAAACAAAAGCCTTTTAAAACATGTGACGCACATATGTTGTCTTATCTTTTACTTAAACCACTGTTGTGACTCATAAATGTGCTGATATGGGCTCATATATTGTCCTGGTTGGAATAAACAACTTTATTTGGGAATGTCCAAATTTACCTTAAAGAACATACAACTTGAGAAAACCAATGGACCAAACCAATTTTATGTGTTTATTGTGAATGAGTTGAATAAAGTTCGACTTATCTGACTGTTTTGTTTCGCTTAATGCGCCTTATAATCCGAAAAATACTGTATAATTGGACTCTAAACTTCTGGCATTAAAGCTTGTGAGGTAGTAAATCCCCGTTAAAGTTCAGATCGTACACAAAAAGCAACCTCGGTTGGGTAAAACCAATACACAGTTAAAGTTTTTGTCCAGTCCAGGAGTAAAGTAACCTGATTTATTTTTTAGTTGACGATAGAAGAACAAAAAAGAAGCTTCAGCTCACCTTCCTCGGCGGAGGCCCTTTGTCTCGGCATGATGGAACTGAATAGGCGATCTGTCCTCTGCGTGAGCGCTGTCTCCTCTGGCTCAGCACCCCAACTCAGGTATCTGACGGTTCTGTTGCCGTGGCGACTGCCTCAGGTGTCACCAGGTGTTGTTGGAAAAGTGAATTGGGTTCTGGAAACCAAAAGGTGATCGACCCACTGTGACTTAGTGAAGTTTAAAGCTGCGCTGGGCTTCAGCTCGGCTGGTTTCTATGAAATAAAGATCAAGACGATGAAACAGTTTGGTTCATATCAGGCCCAAACGGTTACCATGTTTGGAAAGGTGTCATGGTTATGCTTTCCTTTCCAGATAACAAAAAGAGGTTTGAGACACTCTCACTCGTCCTGTCACTGGAGACCCACACAGGAGAACTGCAGACGTCTTAAAGTTTTAATGAAGGTTTAGGTTTCTTCGTGAGAGGCTCATTATACGAGCTTTAAACACCCAGACGAGGCCACGCAGTCGGGTTTTCTTGTGATGCTTTGACGGTTTTGCAGAAAACAACAAACGGAGTCAGCCATCCTGACAACAGCTGTGTCTGCAGGGCTGCAAACCGTGCAGCGCAACCGCTCGGAGTCTCATTAAATATTAGAACGCAGCTCATTTTTCACATCTAAAATGGTTCAATTACACAGTAGGCTGTCCCCGCAGGTGAGACGGCCTGTTAACACGTGCACTGGGGGGGGTTAAGGGGAGAGGTTGAGGGGACACGTGAGCTTAGTGCACAAAATGAGTTCTCAGAAGGTCCACAAAGTTTTAAATATTAGATATTAATGATTTATTTAAGCCAACTTGTAGCTAAACAGACGCCGATAATCCCACAAATTATTACATTTTTTAAAATATTGCGTAAAGGAAAAGTGAATGTATGCGTACCTAAAACTGATTTTATAGATCACCGGTTGCATTTTTTATTAAAATAAAGACAGAATCAAGATTAATTTTGGCGATATGTTCTTTTCTTAAATAAATGAGAAATATTTGGTGTATTTCACGTTCAGTCGATTCACCAGAACCAATAGAGTATTTGGACAAACTCGACCCGGACATTGAAGGAAGACTAGAAACCGTTGTCCTTTTTTATGTTTGTCATTCTTTGAAGGTACACTTTGGAAGTTGTAAACGTTTAAATGATTTTCTGTTCTGCAAAACATCTAAAATAGGCATGATAAAACCTAAAACTGAGTTGCAAGAGGAATTCCTCTTCCAGCTCTACTAGGAGGACTCCAAGATGTCCCCAGGCAAGCCGAGAGACGTAGTCCCTCCAGTGTGTCTCAGGTTTTCCTCAGGGTCTCCTCCCATGGACATGCCTGTTTAATCTCCACAGAGTGGAATCCAGACCAGGAGTATCTTGAACCACCTCAACTGGCTCCTCTGGATGTGGAGGAGCAGCAGTTCTGCTCTGAGTCTCTCCTGATAACTGAACTTCTCACCCTGTCTCTAAAGGGCAGTCCAGCTACCCTGCAGAAGAAACTCATTTGGACCGTCTGGATCCACGATCTTGTTCATTCAGTCTCTACCCAGAGTTCATGACCAGAGGTTAGAGGGCCAACAAAGGCCTCCACCTTCAGCTACTACCCGTAGTACTTTGCGTAGGTAGAGGTCGTCATCAGGCGCTCACCAACAAGACCCAACCCTAGGCTGGACTCCAGGGACATTTGTCTGGCCTGTCATCTGGAACCAAGCTGCCTTGGTAGACCCAACCAGAGACGATTGCCCCGGGCAGCACAGTTCCTGGGGTCATTCAGGAACATAAACTCCTCCACCATGATAAGGCGGTGATTCACTGAGGAAAAGGGGGGACCGCCCCCTCCAAATTGGGAGTGCAGTGATGCCTCAAGCAGAGGAGATAAAGCGTTTGAGGATTTTTTTTTCATGAGTGAGTTTTAAGAATGGAGCGTGAAGATCTCTGTTTATGTTCCTCCCCTCACCCTGGATCTTGAGACAAGGCCGGTCACCTCTCTGGTGGAGTCTGGACTTGTTTGTGAAATTGAGAGGTACTGACTGGAAGGTCGGACTCACCTCAACGCACACCATGGGTTCTGGAACCAATCTCCTTAACGGGCTGAAAATGCAGTCTTCCATGAACCCGGTCTTACGGACCCTTCATGGTTTCTCTGATTAACACCCTCCTCCCTTGCTCTGAGTTCTGAAGGAAGACCCTCTCTTGGCAGGTTTGCCGTGGTGGCATTGTTTATGTGATTCCTAGTAATGGGTTAAATGGAGCTCCATGGAATGTTCAGGATTCTAGGAAATATGTTTCCTTCCCACCCCTGATCTGTACTCTTTCATGCCTCTGACTTGTGGGATGGTTCTTTGGTCTTCATTGGTTGGTGATTCTAGGAACTTTCAGAACAGGTGTACATACAAAGATCACGTGACACCTACCTTGCCCTCAGATGGATCTTATTTAACCAAGTATGTGGCTCCTGAAGGGGACGTTTAGGGTTTCAAAGCAACAGGTCAACCCTTATACATGCATCAGTTTTCACTTGTATACAATTTAGAGGTATTTAAGAAGGTATTCCTCATTTAACTTCATTAATCTGAGTATTTTGAGTAAAAATATGACTTACGGTCAAAATGTAGGATGCAAGACAACTACAGACCCTTTCCAAAGAAATTAGAATATCATGGAAAAGTTGTTTCACTTCCATAATTCCATTCAAAAAGTTAATCTTTAATAGATGATAGATTCAGGGTCCACAATTTCAACAAGTATTTATTTGTTTATTTTTACATAATTAGGGCTTCCAGCTCATGAAACCTACGAAAACATCCATCCATTATCTTTTACCCGCTTCTTCCATTTTGGGTCATGGGGGTCGTCGGTGCCCATGTCCAGCAATTACAGTGCGAGAGGCGGGGTACACCCTGGACAGGTCGCAAGTCCATCACAGAGCCACAGAGACAAACAACCATTCACTCGCTCTCTCACCTAGGGACAATTTAGAGTTACCAGTCAGCCTAACATGCATGTTTTTGGTCTGTGGGAGGAAACCGGAGTCCAACGAAAACAGGATTTCAAAAAATTAGAATACTGTGGAGACATCAGGCCACACTTCTCGGTTTTTGCAAAATAAAATAAAGAAATTAGGATCACAACAAATCAATCAAAATATGGTACTTTCAAAACAACTTGTCAATTTTTAATACTTGGTTGTGAATCCCTTTGTCTTAATCTCTGCCTCGATGCAACGTGGCATTGAGACAATCAGCCTGTGGCACTGACTGAGAGTTATGGAAGCCCAGATGTCCTTGATGCTTGCTGTCAGCTATTCTTCGTTTTTGGGTCTGGTGCCCCTCATGTTCCTCTTGACAATACCCCATAGATTCTCAATGGGGTTTAGGTCCGGCGAGTTGGCCGGACAAGCACTGTGGCATCAAACCAGGTTTTGGTGCTTCTGGCAGCATGGGCACAGGCCAGGGCCTGCTGGGAGATTAAATCTGCATCTCAATACAGATCCTCTGCAGAAGGAATCATGAAGTCCTCTAAAACATTCTGGCAGACTGTTGCAGTGACCTTGGATTTAAGAAAGCAGAGTTTACAAACACCTGCACCGGACATTGCAACCCAAATCATGACTGACTGGATATTTCACACTGGACCTCAAGCAGTTCCGTTCCTCACCTTTCTTCCTCCAAATACTTGATTTCCAAATGGAAGGCACACTTTACTTTCATCGGAAAAGAGGACCAAGGAACCCGACAGTTGTAGCCCATCTCCCAGATACGTCTGAATGTGGTGGTTTTTGAAGCTGTGACTCCCGCCTCATTCCACTCTTTCTGGATCTCTGCCAGATTCTGGAATCTTCTCTGGTTGGTAATCCGCTGAAGCCCACGGTCATCTCTTTTGCTGGTGCATCTTCTCCTGACACATTTTGCCCTTCCACTAGACTTTCCATTGATGTGCTTGGACACAGCGCTCTGTGAACAGCCAGCCTCCTTAGCTATGAACTTTTGTGTCTTACCCATCCTATGGAGGGCATCAATGATGGTCTCCTGGACAGTTGTTGTGTCTGCAGTCTTCCTCATATTGAACCGAACTGAGACAATTTAATGACACCTGGGGAAACCTGTGCAGGTGCTTTGAGTTTAGTAGATGATTAGTGTCACACTCAGTTTAAAATATTCATGTCCTGCAACATTTGGGCTGATGTCTTCACAGTATTCTAATTTTTTGAAATCCTGTTTTCGTAAGTTTCATGAGCTGGAAGCTCAAATTATGTTAAAATAAACAAATAAATACTTGAAATTGTTTCAATTGTGGGCTCTGAATCTATCATCTATTAAAAATTAACTTTTTGAATGGAATTATGAAAGTTAAACAACTTTTCCATGATATTCTAATTTATTGGAAAGGGTCTGTACATGGTACTCCTGAGGTGGGGGTTGAATACTTTTGAAACAATGTGTAATTAAGAACACTTCGTTTTCAGTTTTGACACATTTTTGGCCAATAATCGAGTTGTTTTACGCCAACAGAATGGTACATTAATTTAAAAAAATAATAAATCAACTTAAGGAACATGTGTACTAAACGCAACGGTCATAACTCATTAAACTTATCTGAACAATTTACAAGTTTAATCAAGTTCCGCATTGTCCATGAGATATAAATTAAGACTTTCCACACTGTACTTCTTTTTTTTTTTTTTTATTCTCCACTTATCCAGGCTTGGAAAAACACTCACATCTTGTGCTTTAAGTCTTTGTAGGAACCATAAGAGGCTCTAAATTTCCATGTGAACTTGGTGTTTGAAGGAATGAAGACTTTTGGTTGGTAATCAGAGCTGCAGCGCCACCTACTGGTTCTGCTACAATCAATGTCATTTCAGGACTTTAGATCAAAAACTCAGTCCTGTTTTTTACTTTTGGATTTGAACTGAAAATCTACATTATTTTAATTATGAGTCATCCAAGATGGTGGAGCCAGACAGTTTGCATTGGGGTTCCCCAGAAAATAACTGATTGATCTATGGTGGCCACGGACACCACTGGCTACCCCCTGGCTCAGCCACTGTCCATCCAATGTTTAGCCGTAGCTGGTTCGCAGAGACAAAAAGGTCCAGGCGTCCTCCTCCTGGAGGACACCCAAGGTGCTCCCAGCCCAGAGAGGATCTACAATCCCTCCTGCTCGAGTCACGACTGAAACGAGAGGCGTCCAAACCAGTTGCCCAAACCACCGAAGTGAACGCTGCATTTATTCCCATCAACCACTTTGAGGCCACCGTTAGCAAAATATCTCAAACCACTGGACGGATGTAACTGACCAACATTTCTGGCCCTCGACGGTTAAAAACGTGGCAGAAACCATCGTATATTTGTGAACATAATTTATTTACATCATACAATTTAATGTCAGAAGATCAACACACACTGCAGAATATAAATACAAAGAATTGTATAAACTTAACTCAGAGGGGTTAAAAAAAAGCAGCAAGAAAAAGAATTTAAAAACCTACAACGAACAGTTCTACTGCAGCACAATCACTTTGTGTTTTATTTTTGCAATCATCCCTGACACCGACTTCAACGCGCATTTAAAAAAAAAAAAAAACAATTAACAGCAAACGTGAAAAGATGAGCGTTTTAGTGACCCTTCAAAAAGCTACAAGTCGATCCAAACGGCGCTAGTGTTCTGGAGAGCGAATTAACGGAAACAAGTAAAATAAAAAGTCAGGAGCCCGAATCTTCATGCGACTTCAGTGGACGGCTCACAGAACGGAGAGAACCAAAACCCACGTGGACGTCGTTCAAATCAGGACACAGAACCGGGGAAAGAAATTAAAAACAGGTTGTAGCAAATTATAAAGACCAGCAACAAAACTTCTAAAATCCTAACGAAGCAGGAGGGTTCAACTCTGACCCCGAGGCCAAAAACTGGAAAAAAGAAAACCTTTTGCTACTCAAGCCAGCAGAGAGCAAGCACAGCCGAGTCCAAACGTCCGAGCAGAGTTCAGGAACAGACTGCGCAGCCACCCGCAGCGTGGTGCCGTTTTTAACTCTTTAAAGGGGAACGACGCGTCGTCCAGCCACACCGACAAACACCAGCACACGGACGTTTTCTCTGTCCAACACAAACGCTGCGAACAAACAAAACCGTGTGGAGGGATCGATCCTGAATGTGTAACAAAACAAAAAAAAGAACCTTCTGGGCGAAGGCTGGGCTCAGGTCCATGTTTTAATCTGATGTTCAAAGTCAAGCAGAGCTCCGTTCATATTCTCTGGATCTTCTCGGCGACCACCATGGGGTTCTCTTTGCGGATCTTGGCGGCGGCGTCGGACTTGTAGTCGTACGGACAGTTGTGCTCATCGGAGTAACGGTGGATTCCACAAAACAGATTCCCACAGCGACAATCAAAACCTGAAAAAAAAATAAAAACGTTAACGGTTTTTCCCACTTTTGGGACTTTTCAGGACATTGAGGGTTAAATGGTCATCGTTGCGTTTGGTCCAAGCAGCAGCTTGTACCAGTTTGTAACTAGGCCTGTCACGATAACAAATCTTGCTGGGCCATTAATTGTCTCAGAAATTATTGCGACAAATGATAATGATTGTTTACGAAGAAATGTTGGTCATTTTCCGTGTAGTACCTTTTTTGACCACTGGATGGTAGTATAAGACCATTTGACCCCGAAGGATGGATAGTGAGGGAGCGAGCAGCGTGTCCGACATGTGACGTGACATGGGATGTCTCTCGTTCCCATTTATCGGTTCTCAAATTGGCGGATGCTCAGTGTGGTTTGAGCTCTTCAGCATAACATTTGTCACAAAGCTTTTATTTAAAATAAAAAAATAATAATAATAATAATAAAGTAAACAAGTTCTCAGCTTTTTGTGCAGAGGAAAAAAAAAAAACTTTTTAGACGAAGGCACAAGTTTTGACAAGACAGAGGTGTGTGTCTCCCCCCCCCCCCACAGGTTGGCCTGTTAGCTTAGCTTCTCAGCTTAGCTGCTTTTAACGATCTAAAAACATGATTTTGGATCGTTAAAACAGATTTTAAAGAGAAAGGGAGGAGTCAGTGAAGAGCACCAGAGTTGAGCCTTTTGTCGTCCAGTGTCTTCAGTAGAAAAAGAGACACGAAGAAACGATAAAGTTGATAAATGAAAATGAGGTTGATAATTTTCATTTATGATGCGATTAATTGATTTATTGTTTATCGCGACAGGCCAACCCTCTGTAGGGTGGACGGGCTCAGCCTTAAATAGGGCGTTCCATTAGGGATGGATCTCAGCTACAACCATGCCAAACCTTTAGCTCAGTATATGTAAAACAGATTTAGGCAGACCAGTTTAAGTGTTTTTCATGCTCTTGGATGGGTTTTAGCTGCTACCACAACAGATTTCAGTTCAGCGTCTATAAGACTGACGCAGTTACAGCATCTTGTTGGTTGAAAACATTTTTGTGAAGTTTCTCCTCAAATGAGTTTCAGTGGAGCCGGTGTTGGTTTCTCCCCTCACCTGTAAGGCCAATCTTTTTACGGCACATAAAGCAGCGGTTCCTCTTGGGTTTGGGGGCTTCTGGGGGTCCGACGTCTTCACTGCCAGCAGTTGAAGGTTGGCAAACAGAACCGGTTTGCAGCAGACTCACGACTGGAGACACGCAGAAGAAAACATTTAGTGAAAATTCACACATTTCAGGCATGACACGCTGGTGCAGCAGCCTCAGTGTTTATACTTCAATAAATGAGATTGTACGTTTCAGGTGCCCACCTGGATCTGTGACGTCTACTTTGCTCGATGCTAGCTTCTCCTCAGACGACAGGCTCATCTCAGTCATCTGCTTCGTTACAGACGTGGCAGGTGAGATCCCACTGAAGGAAAAGTGAGCGAACGAGACGAGAAGAACGAGAGGTGAGTTTTTCATTAAAGATTAGCTGGAAAAAAAACCTCTCAAAGTAATCACTGGATGAAAACTTAGTCAATTCAAGATGGCCGCCACAAATAATCAACACCTTCCAACACAAAAACAACTAACTTAGGCAAATTTAACAGTTTCTGCTCATGTGGCAGCAGCTGAGAGTCACTCCCAGTACAAACATCTACTGAAATGTGGCGGCCATCTTGAAATAAACTAAAGGTGGAGAGTGAAATGTATTCCTACAGGGACCGCCGGCCAAACCGAGTGAGAATCAGCACGGGCTGCAGAGCAAAATAAGCCAAAACATTAATTTAGCCATAAAAATCCAGCGATCCCAGCAACTTTAATTTAAAGTGTTTTACAAGTTTGTCCTAAAAAAATAATAATTTTACATCTAATCCTTTAAAATTTGCAGTTTTTCTCTACTTGGAAATCCCTTCGTGTAATGTTTGGCGTTATTGTGAAGACTGGATTTTCCCTTTTGGATTTCTCGCCCTGGATCATTGAGGCTTTTTGAGAAGAACAACTGAAAAGATGGTAAACAAAATAATTCCTGAATGTGGCTCATTAAATGCATCAAAGCAGACTAAATGTGTTCAATCAGCTCAAATAATGTTGGTTTGTACGAGGACTACAGCACCTCCAAAGCTGGACAGACTGCATATATTCAGGAAGAACAAATCAAGACAGACACTGAGGGAAAATGTCCGAAGCTCCAGTCGGTGGTTCTCTCCTTACCCGAAAGCTTCTGCGACGGCAGCGTCAGCCGCCTCCTCCACCGCTGCGACCGCAGCCGCTGCAGCGTTGTTCAGGGTGGCTTCTAACCTCTGGATGGCAGAATCTTCAGGCGTGGAGCTGCTGCCGGAGGCTGAGGAGGGAAAAGAAACGAAACATCACGACGCGTCACTCGGGTGGACGGACGAGGCGAGCCGCGGCGGGTCGTACCCATGGAGTTCAGAGAGCCCACTCCTCCGTTCTGTCTGGAGAGGTGTTCCTTGTGGCAAACGGAGCACATGCCATTAGTCCTGGGGTTGCCGTAGAAACCACAGCCAGTGGCACAGGGCATAGGACCCGGGCTCTGATTGGTCTCCTGGGCCATAGCAATGCCTGCCACCTGCCGGGTTCACCTGGAGACAAACGGACAGTTCAAACCCTTTGTGCCGTTTAAAACCATCAAAAACCTGGTTAACACTGAAATACATCGAGACTTCACATTATCTAAAGACTAAAATGAGCTAAACAGTAGCTAACAAGCTAAACAGGCAGCACAACGGCTAAGTGGTTAGCACTTCCAGGCCCTGGCCTGCCTACGAAAGAGATCTGTGATCTCAGTGGGGTTGCCTGGTTAAATAAAGGTTAATAATACAGTTTTAAAAAATTAAATCAAAATTGAAGGATAACAATCGTGTCAGTTAAAAATCCCAATGACCAGGTTACACAATGTGATGTCAGCAGGTACCTGGATGTCTGGCAAACAGGACTTTGAATACACCGCTGTAGTTGTGGTTTACGCAGATAAAGAAACGGCTGAAAAGTGTTATCCAAGAAGTTATGTTGCTACAGGACAACATGCTGACAAGCCTCACAAGTTCTCTGGTTCTTACCATTTCCAAAACCGATTATTCTGAGAAATGTGATTGTTGGACTCGACCATCAGAGTTGGCTTCAACCAGACAAATATAAACAGGAGTACTTATATCTGTTTGAAACACTTGGAGGGAACGGACCGACAGAGGATCAACGCCATTCGTTTCAACAATACCAAAAACTTCCAAACTTTTGAAGGTGTAGTAAAAAAAAAAAGCCGTAGCACCCGTTTCCTAAACGAACCGAATGTTCTGACGTGTGGCTACAGTTGCTGACAGTATGCTAAAGTAGCTTGAAGACGATGTGCGAACGCTGACTCAACATTCACACCGTGTGTGTTACTCGGTAATAAAACCTCCACTGCCTCTGAATTAAATAATAAAGGCCTCTTAGAAACTAAAGGAACATTTCAACAAGTTTAAAAGGTATGAATCTTGAAAATGTCAAAGTAAAATCTTAGGAATGTGCTCACTGGTGTGCAGATTGCTGTTTATGACCCCTTCCTTCATTCACACCCGAGTTCCCTGAACAAGGACGGCTGTAAACACATTTATTTATAGACAACCTCAAATGTCTCGCAGTCAGAGCTGGCATCGAGTCACAACTTTTACTTAGCCTTTTCTCAGAAGACGCCTTTTTATCGACAAAGTTTCTCCTGGACTCGAGACAAAAACTAAAATAAAACTGCCTCAACAACTTCACGCTGAAACAGATTACACTAAAGAGGCGGATATGTCCAATTTACGGGATTAAACGACTCAGGCACAATTTATACTCATTTTAGAAGTTAGCAGCTTTTACACATTTATAAAACAAGCTTCCTAATATTATTAACCACCAGTAGCGCCGCTTTGTTCTCAGCTTTGAAATGACAAAAACAAAGATTTAACCAGAGTAACTCTAAAATCTGGTCAAAGAACTTGTTACGCAAGATTAATGATTTTAAGAGGAGCATTATTTCATTTGTCTTGTAATAATAATACTACTTTATTTATAAAGCCCTTTAAAACAACCACAACTGCCACAAAGTGCTGTACATACACATAAACATGTGTTTAAGCTTGCCCAGAAAACAGAGTACTTGGTAGTTTTAGTACACAGTACGCATTGAAATGACAACCATTAACCTGAAGATAAACGACTTCTTGAGTTCTGAGATTCTGCTTCTCATCCAAAACATTTTCCAGATTCAGAAGTGAAACGTAAACAGATTAATTTGCCGTGGAGCTGCTAACTCGAACATTTATCGTATTTACAGTTCAGAGCAGCGACGAGTGCTCCGACCTTCAGATAGAGTTAAAACTAAACTACTTTTATAAGATGGGGCCACCTTGAGGGCAGGACACATAAAAGAGCTTGATGGTTTGAGGTGGGAGTACAAGAAGTTATCTGGGTCAAACATGAAGGACCAACATTAAACAGAGAAAGTCTCAGGAATCCAGCAAAGACAAAGCAGCTCTGAATCCACACACACACACACACACACACACACACACACACACACACACACAC